ACAGGAGATGTTTTTGAATACTGGAACAAGCAACGGTTTTGCAATGCAGACTTCGGTGAGATAAGTTTTTCAAAATGTTTAGTTTTAAATCTACCTCATTGACTCGGTCGGCTTGGCATTACTCTACTCTATATTTCACTGAGGAGGTGCATACTCCAAAAACTATAAAATCTTTATCGCAGACATTAAGAAAAGTTTTTTGGACGCAGTTATGCTGAAACTTACTTAGTAGCCTAACCGCTTATATGTACATTGTTCTCAAATTTTCATCGCCACCTAAATTTCAAGTTGTTTTCGCAGTCTTCGTTGACTTTGTCAAGCCTTGTATTTACTATTAATTTCCTTACAACAGCTATCAAAGTCAGGGTTTTAAAGAAGTTTGAACCAAGGATTCCTGATTATCATGATGACCCTTGGTCAGTTGGCGGTGCGAACTACACAGTCAAAGTTTTGAAAACCTTCAAGGGATCGTTTAGAGAAAACGAAATAATTCGGTTTAAAACTCCACCCCGAGGAATGTGTGATGTTAAGCTTAACGATAAGCGCAAATACGGCGAAACAAAATACTTGCTCACCGGAAGAAGGAGCAACTGGCCGTTAGAAATCATGTCGTGCGCCTGGCATGAGCCGTGGAGTAAAAATACGTTGCAACGAATCCGCAAGATCAGTAACAAATGTTAATCATTGTTATTGTTTGTTAAGTTCGCACGATCGGTTGTAAGCGAATACTGGGAGATATTATATTCTAGAATGGTTCATTAGCTCTTTGACGCGGTTTGTAAAACCCTTTATTTTATCAAATGTTGGGAATAAAGCGAATACAACACTTTTAAGTTTCTTTAGTGTTTCTTAGGGTGTAGCAGAAGAGAAGGGGGAGGAGGTATCCCAAATGAAAACGTGTGTGAACGATCTATGATGATGGCTATACTTCTTAAGACTGCTTAATCAATTAGTGAAGAAAAACCCGTGCAGAGACATTGAAAAGTAGAATGCGCCACGACGGGAAAATGAGGTTCCACCGAGAAGAGGAACAGAGAGATATCACGAAAATAGAGGCCTTTGAAATACTTTCGAAACAAATAATCTCTCCACTATTAAGATCAGACAATAAATTCTTACAGCAGCTACATCACATGCCTTGTTATACAAGCTCAGAGAATTTGGTGACACATCAAATAAGATCCACCCATCGCTGTTTTTCTGTCTCCTCATCGCATTTATAAGCTGAAAATGGATTAGTACCGTGATAACATCTGATTTTTTTGTTGCTGATTCTCTTCCTCTCTCATTCGTTATGAAAGGAAACAATATTCTTTTGTGTGTTTATTTAATACTTTAAGACCCATCCGTCATAATCTGTCGCTTCTCCTTTCTCAGTCGGTTGTCCTGTCTCACTTAAGCTTTGGATTTTACCGATATCTCTCGGTATCTCTGCCGATGAACCCTAAATTGCATCTTGTTGTGAGATCTAGTGAGTTCCACCTCTTGAAGATATCACCGTCCGCGGGGAGGGTTTGGAAGAGGTATTTCGGCCGGCGTTCAAATTTTAACTCAATCACTCTGATCGAGTCAGACAAAAACGTTCATTTTCCTCATTCTTACTCAGTTTTACCCGTTTTTAACTTCATACAGATCTGGATTCTGGAAGATGTACTTGTTTGCAAATTCATTCTGCTTTGTCGTAGCGTCAGTGCCGTAGACAAGAATTGGTTAAATTCTTGAATTAAAAATTTAGCTTGATCAAGTAGTCTGATTACTTTTCTTTTTCTTTCCTACCATATCAAACTCATGGGGTACAAATAGTCTTAACATGAATGTAGTGACCACGCCCACTTCAACACCCCACTCAAATCGAGTGAAATTTTTTAATGTTTTACCATCGTGCGGATTCTCTACGGAAAAAGCACTCAATGTACCTCTGAAATATTAAACTATAATATTGTGGCTTTCTATTTCGCTAATTTACTAACTTGAAGGTTAAGTTTTTCCCTCGTCATTTTTACCTTTTCTCCGAGCGGTTGCGTGAAATTAACAAGGCGTTTTTGATCAAAACACGTTTTTCCGTCCTTCGTGCGAGCACGAAGGACGGAAAAAGTAAACGATGATCGCAGTGAAGGAATCGATGTTAAAATAATGCACTCTGATACTCCAATGTTCAATTTTTTTTCTGAGAAACTTTTACGAATGAAATTAAACAAAGCAAAATTATGTGCAAAAATCTAACAGAATACAAATCGCCGTGAGTGAAAAGGATGCGAAAACAATTAGAAAAATGTGCGTGCAAAAACACAAAAATGTAATTAGGAACGTAAAAGGGAAGATACACTTAGTGGGAATGCCGCAGTAACAAGGACCTTAGGCAGGCAGGACAGTAGTGCTAAGATGTCCATTAAAAAATAATTTATATTTAAATTAGCATTTTACGAATGGCTGGATGCAATTATCGTCTTTTGCGGCACCCCTCTCAACTTCAGCATAACGCATGTGAGTACGCTGAGGTTTTAAAAAATTTAAATAGCTTGCCGTCGAGGTTTCCGTTCTCAGACCATGTAATTTTTGCTGATTTTGCCGGGGACGGTTAAGAAATGTACAGTCTTGAAACGCTCGCGCTAATTGTTGTTCTACACATTAATGTTATTACCATTGCGACTTCGTGATCGGAATATGTAAATGATTTATCATTTTCCAACGGAATTCATTTATCAAAAGAACTATTTCTCACTTCGTATATAGAAACATCCGTCACAACGGCTTGGGAATTTGTTCAAGATAAACTTATTCTCAGTGTATTGTAATTCAGTAGAATCAGCTGAGGCGCCCGTTTGTAACCAGTTGTCCCGTTCTGAACGCAAGCCCAAGCACGAATGCTTATTTCATAGCTTTCGTCATCGGTGAACATGCTGTTCTCAAAAACTGGTTTATTCATCTCGCTATTTATACAAAAATTAATAAGTGCTACTTGCCTATTTTAATGGTGTTATGTTACAGTATGATTACCAGTCACGAGTACGTCTTGCTCTGACTCGTATGCAAATTTTTTATGAGAAACCGGATTCGCTTTTTGTTTCAACATTTGTCGAATCACCGATCAATTTTTACCAAATTGCTCGAAAAAATGGAACGGAAAAATTAACTGCGGGATACATGTAGTTCAAGTTGTTTCAGACTCGCCGGCGCGTGGAATGAAACTGTTTACATTTCGTAAACACTGAAGCGAGCGCCGATTGCAATGAATAAACAGAACACCATTCACATTCTTAAAAAGTTTATTTCCTTCTGATCCTCACCGAGGATGATCGAGGTAGGTTTGAAGTTACAAAAAATATTATCACCTGCGATGCAAACATCAAACTGTTTACATTCCGCGACGTGAACACTCAGGGAGCGCTGATCGCAGTGCATACATTGAGAAGCATATTAGTAAGTATTTGTTTCGTTACTCGCTCAATGAAACTCGTGTTTCGATGCTTTGAGTAACTGAAATTTTCCTTCCCAGCTGATTCATCAGCAACTCAAATCAAGCAAATCTACTGCTATTGCTCGTTATCCAAAAAATTGGCGAAGCGACACGACATGCGTGAGTGTAACATGATAGCTTTTTCCATTAGGTAACTTTTCCTTTGTCCACTCGCCGCTTTTTCAAACCTAGAAGTCCTTTGTTTCATACAACATTGAAATACAAAGGAAACTTATAGCACTGAATAACAAAGGCACATGAATCACGCATTTTTTTCGACCGTGCGCATGAAATTCGTCTGCGCAGTTAACTTATACGCGAGCGGTACTGTAAGCGTAAACAGCTGTATCTAGGTAAGATTTAAGCTTAAGGTGAGTCATGTATGGCAAAAGTTTCTTTTTTTTCTGTTTTTTTTTCTTTTAATCATTTGTGAACAAGTTAATGAGACTTGTTTTTGACGTAACAGGTCCAAAGAAACACTGTAGCGTCTTGAAAACACACCCTGTTAGCTTAATTACAAGTAACTGAAACACCAGCACGGTGACCCACATTTTTTCATCGTTTAATGTAATAAGCGTGTTGAGAACCAGCCTTTGTGAAGTTTAAAAATTTGTCAAGAAAATTAATTAAGCGACCTACTTGTAACAATCTGATGCTTACTGAACAGTACTTTCTTTCAGAGACACCAACACCATAGAGAAAGAGACGCTGGTGTTGTGGTCCGCATGTTTAGCGGAGAGAATGTTTCAATTTTAGTCCCGCCAAGCACAATATTTAGGGATATTGCAGGACAGGAAAAACAAGTTCCCCTGAGGCTGGAAAACAATTAAATATAACCAATTTTGAAGTATCATGTGTTAATGTTTTTATATCGCAACGAGAATCGTAAAGGAGAGAATAAAGTATACTGATTTTGTTGATAGTTAAGTTGATGCAATAATTCTCTCCTCGATAAAATCAAGCATGTTATTTTTTGGAAAAGTGCAATTACTTTAATCATTTTGTTTTTCCGTATACATGTTCAACATCTAGAAAAACCTGTGAGGGAAAATCTTATCAAGGAAACGTGCTAATGTGAATTTACCTAAGGAAGCACCCATGAATGTATGATAAACTGCAGGTCTTTGAAGAATTATTCTTTGTGCCTCTCTCTTTTATTTCCCAAATAATCGCTCGGAACACCCATCATCAAATACTGTTGGCTGCATTCTTCCTTTCCCACGCTTTATTCTCTCTGTTTTCTACTTTTCTTTGTGTTATCAAAAGATATTACGATAAGAAAATCAATTGAAATATTGACTGAAATTTCGTAGAGCCACGTTCTGCACTTGTGCTCCTTTGATACGATTCAATGTAAACATCATCGGTCAACGTCCTCGTTGTACTCCAGCGTTTCGTGTTGGTGCCCAGATGGCAGCATTGATCCTGAAATGGTACTTGAATTGCTATTCGAGTACGGTGAACGTGATTCGAGCTCGGTTGCCCAGATACCAAGTGTGGTCCAAAAAAACGACAATTAAAAAAGTAAATGTATCATTGACAGCCAGTGGGGAGCCGCATATTCCAGAAAATTTCTTGAGGCCTACTGTGACTTGATTTTATTACTACACGTTATACGCCCTCGCCATCAGTCAGGAATCAGGCCGCCAGATCGATCAGAACACATCAGGTAGGTTCACCTTGAAAACAAACTTAGCTTTGAGTTTCATTGATTCTTATTTGATCTAAAAAGGAAAATTAGATAATCTGCATACCGTATTTCTTCACCTATAAGCCGAGCGATTTTTTCAGTATTTGACACAAAAGTTTGGGAGATTTTTTCACAAGAAATAGGGTTCGACTTATAACTGAGGGTTTGGGATTCGAAAACAAACACAAATATAGTGTTAATGCCAAATAACCGTAAATTCCGTGACTGCAGCGCTCTTTCCGTGGCATGCTTTAAAATTGTCATGACAACAACGTATTTCCGACCACCAATCAGATTCTTTGCTTCCCGCTGAAATTCGATCTCACACAACTCGGCAAAAACTCCTATCATTTCACATTACAATTGAAATTTTTGGTTTCTCTGCTGTCAAAACCGAAAGAGATACTCGATTGAAACGTTTGTCAGGTTACAGTAACTGAGAGTATTGTTGTGTTTCTGCAGTCGCGTAGTAGTATTTACATCTTCACTGATTCGCTTTTTTTTCTTTTGTGTTTATTCTCATCCGTAAGCTTTTGTGTTCATTGAACAATTTCCCAATTTTTTCCGCGAGGTTCGCTCACTCAAATGGCCGGTTACAATCGAGAATTTCGCTCTCGGCTTATAGCCAATGGTTTTGCTTTTTCTTTTGGACAACACGAGTCTGTTGGAACGTCTCTAACTTTTAGGGTCTCGGTTTATAGGTGAAGAAATACGGTATCTATTCTCTTTTGCTCTGATTTAAAATGAATCGCGATAAAAAGCGATCTTCGCAGTAATGAGCACTACTAAGACAACAAGGCAACTGGGTATTGAAAGAGCACTGCACCGGTATCACAAAGGTTATGGGTTCAAATCCAGTACAGGCCTGAATTTTTTTCAGGTCTTATTTCCGTTACTTTCTTCGTCGTAAGCGTTCAACTTATCGAGTATTTCTTTGTAAAATACAACCTCGACTGATCATCTTAGCACTAGTCATAATTTTACACATAGGTTTAGCTTGACTGTATTTTAAAAATTAATGAAAACTGAGATGATCGGACAAAAAGTACTGCTCTAACACTCCTGTGCCAAAATAGTAATTGTATTAAGTTATGTATACCTTAAAAAAAGCAACATTGTGATTACAGCACAAATCAGACACTTGTTACAAGACGAAGAAGTATCAGGAAATTAAAATTTATCATCTTTTTTGTTCTAGTTAAGAGCAAGGTGATCCTTAGTTTTTCCTCCAAAAATTCAGATGCTGGAATATTCACATAGATTGTACACTCGAATAAACACATTATGTAGAGCTAATTTGGACCTCCACAGATCTAAACGACTGTTGCAATGGCTACTATATCTGAGGAAACAGGCTTTCCTTCAAAGTTAGCGCTGTCTTACAATGATTGATACAACTCGTGGGTTATTCATTTGAACGCCTTTGTGACTGAAGAAACGTTTGGTTTTGCCGGAACTGTTTCGTCCATTTCATGTCCTAATCGAAGCAAAACATCTCAAACAAAGTGATAACCAAGAGACGAGATCCCTTTTCTTGCTTGGAAAAAAGAAAAAAAAAACAAACAAACTTATAATTAGTTTCTTCGCGTAAAATGATTTGTTTGAGATAAAACGCCGAAGAATATTGACTAGTCGTTATTTAATAACAAGTTCAGTCAAACAGCAATTAGTAACGTTGTTATTCTTACCACTGTCAGTATAATCATTATTTATGGGAAAAGTGAGAAATTGTTAATATTTTTTTTCTATAATACAAGGCAGTTATCATGGCTTCCATACTCTGTTATATGACGCTGTTGTTGTGCGCTGTAACCTTAAGTGAAGGGTGCTCATGCGCAGTTCCTACGATACCACCATCCGTAGACTGGACAGGAGATGATTTTGAATACTGGAACAAGCAACGGTTTTGCGATGCAGACTTCGGTGAGATAATTTTTTTCGAAATGTTTAGTTCAAATCTTTCTTATTGACTCGGTCGGCTTGGCAATACTCTACTTTACATTTCACCGAGGAGGAAAATGGTCCATAAACCGTGAAATCTTTATGGTAGCCTGATTAAAAAAGGTTTTTTTGGACGCAGTTATGCTGAAACTTACTTAGTAGTCTAACCGCTTATATGTACGTTGTTCTCAAATTTTCATCACCACCTATATTTTAAGTTGTTTTCGAAGTCTTCGTTGACTTTGTCAAGCCTTGTATTTACTATTAATTTCATTACAACAGCTATCAAAGCCAAGGTTTTAAAGAGGTCAAAACCAAGGATTTCTGATGATGACCCTTGGTCAGTTGGCCCTGCGAGCTACACAGTCAAAGTTTTGAATACCTTCAAGGGATCGTTTAACGAAAACGAAATAATTCAGTTGAAAACTCCAGCCCTTGAATCATTGTGTGGTGTTCACCTTAACGTTAAGCGCAAATACGGCAAAACAAAATATATCCTCACCGGTAGAAGGAGCAACGGGCAATTGGAAATCATGCTGTGTGACTGGTTCGAGCCGTGGAGTAAAAATACGTTGAAACAAATCCGCAAGATCAGTAGCAAATGTTAATCATTGTTACTGTTAGTTAAGTTCGCACGATCGGTTGTAAGCGAATACTGGGAGATATTATATTCTAGAATGGTTCATTAGCTCTTTGACGCGGTTTGTAAAACCCTTTATTTTATCAAATGTTGGGAATAAAGCGAATACAACACTTTGAGTCTTTTTAGTGCTTCGTGGGGTATAGCAGAGGAGGGGGAGGTATCCCAAATGAAAACGTGTGTGAACGAACTATGATGATGGCTATACTTCTTAAGACTGCTTAATCAGTTAGGGAACACAAACCCATGCAAAGACATTTAAAAGTAGAATGCACCGAGGTTCCTCTGAAACAGAGAGATATCACGAAAATAGGGGCTTTGGAAAACTTTCGAAACAAACGATCTTTTCAGATCGGACAATAAATTCTCACGGCAGCTACATCACATGCCTTATTATTCAAGCTCAGAGATTTGGTGACACATGAAATAAGATCCACCCATTGCTGTTTTTCTGTCCCCTCTTCGCATTTATATGCTGTGGGAGAGGTTGGGGAGGGGGGTTCGGAAGAAACATAGAAACTGAGAAAAACAGTATCACCGCAGACTTTGGTGAGATAACTCTTTGAAGTTGTTCAATTCCAAGTAGACTATTTTTGGTATCATTTTGTTAAGAAGGAGCAAGCTCCAAAGCTTTATAATATTTCCCTCTGTTGATGAAAAATTTCCTAGGGAAACTATGTCGCCTTGTTTGAAAATTTTAGAGTTTTACCCAGCATTTGCAGATCGACGCCACCATCATCCTTCTAAGGCTTTGTATGGGACAACGGGAGGTACTTACAGTGCACGCGTTTTCCGTCCTGTCTTTCTATTTAACTGGGCGCTTACTTGGGAAATTATGCGCCGATCAACGTCCCCCGGGCAACTCACAGGCATTTAACTGTCATCTATGCCCAGGAGTGAAGATGACTTCGGGTCGGATGGGGAATTTGAACCGGAAAGGTTGAGTCTTAACAGCGTAATACACATGTGTGACCCACTCATTTTCATGCCCGTAAACACAAACTCAATCATTTTGTCGCTATGTACTCACAATTTTCACCGAAGACTATACTCGATCGGGGATGTCTTCGATTGCCTCTGTCAATCTAATTGCCAAGCCCTTCTTGGGTTGAGAGGGTAAGTTTCTCAAGAAACTGTGGTGCTGCGCCGGTGGGAGAGTATAACAAGGTAATTTGGTATTATCAACTGAGTTGATAACGTAAATTGGCCAAAGTTAAGAGTTTTCAAAGCTTTGAAACTCCTAACGTTGGCTAATTTAGATTCCCCTTTTTTGTACTGTGATCTTATTGCGAAACTTTCAATTCCTTCAACAGCTACGAAAACCAAGGTTTTGAAGAGGTTCTTATCAATGATTAATAAGCCTTGGTTGTTCGTGACCTACACAGTGCAAATTTTCAAAACCTTCAATCGAACTGCAGTATGCATATTCTCCATACTGCTCTTTACACATTTCCTAAGGTGCTGACAAGAAGAATTTGTTTGCCAATCAAAAGGTTCTTTCCATGCTGATCATTTCCTTTATTCTCATGACCTTAGTATGTGATTCAGCGGTGATATTGTTGGGAGAAATTAGATGCTAATCACTCGTAGAGGTTAAAAGCTTAAAAGGAAAAAAACCGTAACAGTACGAGATATGAATTAATGATAATATATTTTACAACTAACTGTTCCGGTTCGATTTATTGAGCGCGGTGGCTACCAACCACATGTTGTTAAACTAGCGTCTTCTTAACCCTTTAACTCCAAGATAAAATTTGTCATTCTCCTTACTGTCAACCATACAATTCTTATGACGCTACTTCAGAGAATTTAGTATTGGATCAACTAATTATCCCCAAATTGATATTTTTCTTTATTCTCATCACTTATCTGGTTGATATTGTATTGGTATTGTAAGGAGAAATTCTGTCTTGGTTACTCGTAAGAGTTAATGGGTTAAAGCACCAGCGAGAAGCTCTTCCAAAGTCATAATGATTGTGATACACCGAAGACAGTTGTCATAAAATAAATAATTCACTCTGAAAGTTGAAGAACCCGTTTCAGTTTATTAAGAAACGTTTTCTGAAAACAGTGTTTTCAAAATAAAAAGGTAGCTGGAATGGCCAAAAAAACCAAACGAACACAAATAACATCGTTATAACTGAATATCCCGAGAGATAAGGGCTTGAAGTAGCAAATAATTATATTACTTTATATTTGATTGATGTAAGCATTTCCTTAATTAAAAGCCCTTAGAGTTTAAAAATTTCCCAACCACGTCGAGTATGTGATTATTTTGATTTCATGGTATAAATAATCAGCGATTAATTGAATCTAAAAAATTACTTTCTTACAGAAAGTAGGTGTCACTATTTTGTTATAGGTTCTCTGCACTGTATAAATAAACTTCATTACATATATTTAAACAATCTTAATTTTGAATTTGAAGATTAACTATGAAAATGGTTTTTCTACAACGAAAAACCGAGTAAGTCATCATTGACAGGTCAAATGTTTTTTCAATACTAGTTCTCAGTTCCCTCGCTGGTTATTCAATATCAAGGAGCTGTGTCTGTGTCCACGTCTACGCCACTCACAATCACTTCCTGCTTTTCTAGTTGCACGAGCTTATCATATTCTAACACGGTCCGATCACGTGAACCGGAAGTAAAGTGGATGGTTGGAGCGTCAATTGCAGCGTTATACTTCAGTCGCTTTTAGATAAGGCAATTGTTCTAGGTCGATATCATCTGTGTACACGTCTTTAGCTAAAACTGAAAAAAAAAAAAAAAATGAGAAAATCAGGAAATTAATAAAACTAAATTTTGAAATACAGCTCTTATATAGGAGAATTTTGTATTCATAACCATTTGACCCTAAGAGTGATTAGCAGCTAATTTCTCCTTACAATATCACCCCTGAATCAAACATTTAGGTCTCGAGAATGAAGGGAATGATCACCAACTGTAGAAGCTCTTAATCGTAGAAAGAAATTATCCTTGTCAGCACTAACAGAAATGTATAGAGAACAGTGTGGAGTATGCGTACTAATGTTGAGGTGTAGAAGGTTAAATTCTGGCAATCAATGTGTACCCCGTGGAAACGAAAAGTTGTTGAACGTGGTTAAAGGCGTCACCAACGAGAGTACTAAAACGTTACACCCCTCTTGGCCTTCTTGGTCACGTCAACGATAACTCGTGATTATAGAACACTGTGACATACCCCTAGATGACAGAAAATGCCTTTAACTGCTCCTTGACGATGCATTTCACGTTAAATGAAAGCTAATCTCCTCCTCTCATTCAGAACTGCTTTTAGCTCACACAACACCCTTTAACCCTGTACACCCTAATATCAGTATGCATATTCTCCATACTGTTCACCATACATTTCTTGAGGTGCTGACAAGGAGAATTTGTTTGTGACGTTAATGTGTGATTCAGGGGTGATATCGCAAGGGAAAATAAGATGTTAGTCACTCTTTGGGTGAAAAGGTTAAGATGCGATGCAACCCACTGGTTGAAAGAGTTCCATTCCCTGTACTTACCTGTCATTCGTCGTTTAATGTTTGTGGGAGGTTTACGATACAAAAGAGCTACAATCAAGAAAGCAAGCAGCGCTTCAATCCCAGGGAATACCGAGAAGGCGCCTCTGAGGTACTGGGCACAAGGTTCGCCACATATCCTGGAAATAGCAGAAACTATGTTAAACATGCGCCACGAATAGAAATGTAACGAGTCAAGTGCTAAATACAGGAGGTTATCTTGATAAATCACCAAATTCTCTTCACTAGTTTTCAAGGGAATGTATAGCTGCTTGAAGGGAGTATTACAAATCACATCTGAAAAGGCCAATGAATCAACTCACCCTTGTGTCTCGGGATAATATTCTTGTAGGCCAAGAACTATAAAACCAAGCGATGCTTTATCCATAAGAGCGCACACACCGTACACAAAACCACTAGATTTCTGTAGAGCGAACAAAGGTTAGGTCAGAAAAACACGTACTGCTACACACCATGGAAGAAATATGTGTGATTCTCTCTAGTTGGAATGGATGCGAAGGTTTACATCCCTTTCCCTTCAGAAGGTTTATGTATGTTTCACTCCCCCCCCCTCCTCCCTCCACCTCCTTCTCCCTCACTAAATCGACCATAAGACGTCCATCCGATCTTATATAATAAGCTTGCAGACGAACTGGGAGGGTGGGGGCGAAATTGCAAAATTTCATGGAGCAAAGTAGTAAAGGTTGTACTAATAATGGGGTGAAACATCCAGATATCAAGGGGAAAATTCACCAGATTGGCCTTCAAGGGCTTTACGCTTATCCCAGAAAGGATAGATGACGGATGGAAAATAGTGGAAAGCTTGACGGGGACGGAGAGGAAAACATGGTGATATAAAAGTTTTAATACGTAGAACTGTTAGTGCAATTTCCTGGCTGCCCTCCCTTTGCAAAAAAAACAAAGTAGAATCACCAACGGAAATTCCTGAGGCAAATTATCCACGTTTCTGAATCGGAGAGAATTGTGGAATGGTGTCGTGCCATGTGTACAAAAGGGAAGCTCTGGGTGGAAAGAAAAGGCAGATCACACACTTACTTTATCGTCACCAATGATTTCTGCTACCATGGCTAGAGACGTCACAAGCATCATGGAGTTTCCACAGCCCATGATGATTGTTGGCGCGTAGATCATTTGTCTCTTTGACTGAGGCGTGAAGTAGAACCACGTGGCACAGCCAATGACAACGACTGCACCAACACAAAACAAAACCTGTGTGGAAACCGTGATTTAGTAATGTTACTTGACTGTACATACATTCTAGTTGACCCTGCCATCTTTTTTTTTTAACATAAACCTAAAACCTTGCGATCTGTACGTCTAACAAGAAAATGGAAAAACGAGTTAGGAGGAAATAATTTAGAGATCAAGGCCACGCCTAAGACTTTCCAGGGGTCCTAAATTGACATCTTTAAGGTTCCTCCTGCTGCGTCCTTGGTTTACATTCTCTCTGAAGATAGTGAGGCAAATTATTGCCGAGATGGTAAGGAAGCAGAAACTCTGACTCGAGCTTAAAGATAACGAACTGGGGATAGGCAATCAAATTCTCCCAAAAGTAC